TTAAAATTTCTTGTTCTATTGAATCATATCAAACATCGGAGCGTCCTCTAGTAATGATTCATGAACATAACTATAATCAGAGATAATATCATGGGATGGATGTTCAACATCGATCTGTAACGGATTAGTTTGTGTCGTACTTGTCCTTTTTTTCTTTGGATGAGTGTCAATCGAACCAAGTGGCCTTCCTCTCTTCCTTTGAGGAGCCACGGCCTCACCCACACTTCCACTCGGTGTGGATGTAATGCCTGTCATTACAACATTTTTCTTTTTAGTTGGGACTTCTAACCTTGCAGGTGCATTTGCAACAGGTATGTGTGATCTTGTCACTTTAGCAATATGAGTAAATGAATCGAGCATTGAATTTGCCACGTTTTGAAGATCAATTATTCTATTCACTTCGCTTTCATAATGTGAAGTACGGGGATCGAAATGAGACAGTGTGGGGACACACCAAGATATTTCCTGCCGTTCGCTTGGAGAGTTTTTCTTATCTCCCCCTAACGACGGGAAATTTGTCTCATCAAAGTGACAATCTACAAATCTAGCAGTAAAAAGATCACCTGTCAAAGGTTCTATATAGCGAATAATGGTTGGTGATTCATATCCAACATAAATACTTAATCGTCTTTGAGGACCCATTTTAGTGCGCTGTGGGAGCGGATTCGGCACATACACTGCACAATTAAATATCTGTAAGTGTGAAATGTCAGGCTCATAACCAGTCACCAACTGGTATGCAGAGAATGGTTGTGAAGCAGTGGGTCTCAAGCAAATAAGTAAAGCTGCATGCAATATAGCATGACCCCATGCAGATGTGGGCAAATTAGAACGCATAATCAATGCCCAAGCTACCATTTGTAGTCTTTTAATGGTTGCTTCTGCAAGGCCATTTTGCATATGTACATGGGGAACAGAATGCTCTGCATAGATCCCAATGGCCATGCAATAATCATCAAAGTGCTTAGATGTAAACTCTGCAGCGTTGTCAAGTCTTATAGATCGGGTGGTGAGCCCTTAAACAAATTATTTGTGCCAAGAGTTTTGCAAATGCAGCATTTCTTTCTGATAATAATGTAACGTGCGACCAACGTGTCGAGGCATCAACCAGTACCATAAAGTACCGAAATGGTCCGCATTCTATACATCTCCTTGTATCCGTTGTAGGAATGGTATATTTTCTTTTGAATCATTAGCATAGGATGGTCGTGATCCTGTTTTTGATAATGAGCAGGCTTTACAAAAGGAATTGTGGGCATGTGACATTGTCAAAAAAACATTTTTAGACGAGGATGATGCTTCAATTGCTTTAGAAGGCATATGTCAGAGTTGGGCAAGATTGGGCCGACCGCTTTTCAAGCTGTCGGGTTTTTGTGTCGCTTTGTCCTTGCCTCGAAAGAAAGGATGACCATGAGAGTTTTTTAGGATACAAATCATCATGTCACGACCAGGATGCCCTAGTCGATCATGCCAAAGCCTATATCGTTTAGTATCCCTTATGTCATCATGACTTATAGAATAAGATTCAATTATTGGAATTGTAGTGATATACAGTCCACTACTCTTACCCTTAAATTTCTCTAAGATGCGCTTTCTTCCGCATTCATTAGAAGTAATGTAAAGGTATTCAATACCATTCTCACAATGAGTTTCAACATGAAAACCATTGTCACGTATGTCTTTGAAACTTAACAAGGTTCGAGTAGCCCATATAGAGCATTTATGGCTTTAATCAATGTACCATTAGGGAGTAAGAAAATGGCAGTACCACGTCCTTGAATTACATGTGACGAACCAATCATTGTTGTCACAGATGAATTATAGGCTACCAAGTTAACAAATAATTGCCTATTTCGCAAGATGGTATGGGCAGTCCCACTATCTATTAAGCACTCAAGTTCATCTCGATTCATGCCTGTGTAATGAGAGAATTGCATATAGAACTGAAACACACAATGTATATATAAAAATAGGGGCATAAATCCCTTAATTTATTTAAATTGAATGCGAATTTAAAATAATTCCACATAGTCATATATGCAATTGGCAGAAACATAAAAGAAATTATTTCAAACCCCTCTTAGGAAATTGACAGAAACATAAAAGAAATTATTTCAAAACATCATGCATGGAGAGAATGGAGAAAGTGTATCAATCAAAATCAGGTGCATCCATTGAGTGCACATTATCCCCCTACGTAAAGTGTGCAAGGGTAAGATTGACATCAACATCATTGCCTTCTGCGTCCAAATATTGAGATTCATGCTCTCTAGATTGGAGATATTTCTTGTAGCAGGCTGCAACTCTGTTACTAGCACGACAATGCTTGTGCCAGTGTCCGCTAACTCCACATCGGTAACATGGCTCATTCTTTATCACAAGATTCTTAGATGAATTTGACTTCTTGTTTGTGTGGCCACTCGGTCCATCGTTTGACTCTCTTCGCCAAACATTGGAAGATACTCCACGACCGTCACGACCCTTCCCACAATTAGAGTTATTTCCACGTGGGTAAGGATTATCACGTCCAAGTCCCTTTTCATTGGGATGTCTTCCATGTTTTATTTTTCCATAATTGGCTTCAAGAATTTTTTTGTCCCGACAGGCTGAGCATTGTTTGTTATTCACAAGGACTTTATTATGCTTTTCTGCTAATTGCAGCATATTCATCAACTTGTAGAATGTGGTAATTCTTTTGTATTCATACTCAATCCTGTACTGGTTCGCTAGTATCATGCATGAGGTAGGAAATGTGACAAGAGTCTTTTGAATCATGTCATCTTCGGTGATTGGCTTACCACAAAAGATGAGACGTGCCTTAAGACGCAACATATCTTTGACAAAGTCATTTGTCCGTTTATAGTCTAGCAAACGGATTTCATTCCATTGCGCATTCAGTTCTGGGAGCAGAGTATCATGAATGTTCCCAAAACGTCCCTTAAGGGCATCCCACAGTTCTTTAGGGGTTTTCAACTGAAGATATTCCCAAAGTAAAATTGGGTCAATGTGTGCCTTAGGAACATTAAAGCATTTGCTTTCACTTTTTCAAATGGTGCATCCTTCAATTCACCGGGGTCTTTAAGTGTGGCAGTGAAGTCTTTAACCACAAAAGCCATTTCTACATCAGAAACTCATCGATGGTACTCAAGTCCTTCTAAGTCCAAGATGTCAAATTCAGGTCTAGTGGGATCAGTCATTTCTAGATAAAATGCAAATAAACAATCATAAGTAAATTGATATCTTGAAATGAGAGTTTTTTTTAACCAAGCACATTATATTAACAACAAATCAAAGAGTCAAACATAGGGGGAAACCCCAGCACACAATAATAAGTTCACAAAACAGTAGCTAATCGATACACGAGGCTTATTATCTAAACAGAAATTTTGTCTCCAATTCTCAGCCAAATAGTGGTTTTCAACTTTTGAAGAAGATGTTCCTTTGTATCCTTCCTGCCACAATGGAGCTGCATGTTCCTATTCTTCCATACAAAGTAACAACCTGCAGTGATACAAGTTGCTATCATCCAGCGATGTTTCCTACTCTTGCCCATTTTGATTTTCTCTCCCAATTCAGTAATGAACTGGGCAGTAGTTATGTCATAATGAATCCATGTTGAGAGCTCCCCAAAAACAGTTTTAGCAAAAAAACAAGTGCAGAAAAGGTGATCACTTGTCTCTACTTCATGCTCTCTCCTTTTTATTTTGTTTTATACTCCCTCCGCCCCCCAGTTTTTGTTCACTTTTGAATTTTGGAACTGTTCATCTAAGCGCTTTGACCCATCAAATTCTCTCAATATGTAAGCCTAAATATAGTCATGCGTGTTCTTGTTTGATTTGTCTTAACATATAGATTATTAATATATAATTTCTATAATTTTTTAATATACAAAGTACAAAATAAAATGGATTAAAGAAGTGTATTAGATAGTGTGTAAAATGAAAGTGGACAAATACTCTGAGACGGAAGTAGTATATTTTTTTCAAGGGTAAAATATTTTCATGCACAGAAATACTAGATATGTCATTCAATTATGGCAAACACATAAATACTCTTCGGGTAAACACATAAAAACAGTGTATATTTTCAATTTGTGCCAAATCCACTTAATTCAATATTTTTTTAAATTCCGTGAAGTCATTAGCCGTGAACCAAATATGACTATCATAATATGATTATCTCATGCATTCACATATAAAGTCACATAAACTAGAGTCATAAAACTCAATTTGGAATTTGTTTGTTGTCTTCACTTGAAGACATTCCCTAGACAGTGTTTTGCCTTCTTTTTTTACAAATGTTGTAGTGTAGTTTTTCATAAAAAATAATGTGAGTATAAGAAGTTTCAACAATGGAAGTAAATTATTTGTGAGTTGAAAAATGAACTACACCATTACCAAATGTATTACCCATAAAAACATACCAAATGTATTAAAATAAATTAAATAAAAAGGAAACTGATTTAATGTAAAGATTTACTACGTATTACATATTTTCCAGAAAAAAATGCAAGTTCCAATGCACATAAAATCCCAAAAAAAATGGTCAAACGAAACTATAACAGACACCGTGCATAAATTCTCATAATTTCTTTGATGATCTACTGCCCAAGGGGACTTCCAAATACTACAACTTAAGACGGTGATTTTAATTTCTAGGCATCCAAACATGACATTTCATTTCAACAAATCAATAGCAGAATTGGGGAAAACCACAAATCACAGACACAGTAAACATGAATCTAAAACCATCGATTAACAACTACCAGATAAGAAACCATTTTTTTTCAAAAACAAGGTTCATGCTTATAAAAGAAATTTCAAGATCAGCATATATGTCAAAGAATCAGAAACATAGATTAAAAAAAACGCACATGCATCTTAGAGCACTGGTAATGGTTATGAAGCCTCGGGGCTTCAAACTTTCTCTCTCTGCCACGTCAGCTTTAACTTACACCCAAAATTCACTGGAAATGGGTTTGAAGCCCCGGGGCTTCAAAAATGGGTTTCAAACCTTCATTTTTTGCATTTTTAAATATACATCTTCTAAAATTAAATTAATAAAATGTAATTAATTTTTTATTTAATTAAATTGAAACACGAATAATAAAAAATACATTCATTAAATAAAAAAAGTGTCAATAATTTAAAAAACGATACATTAATAAAAAAACTAAGGTAAATTATATTTCTCCTTGATGTCTCTCATTCTTTGCTCATAGATCATTCGTCCAAACTCCGACAACGTCCCGGGGTCGGTTTGCATGACTTTCATCTCAGCCTCCTGCTCCTTTAGCTTCAACCTCTCTTGTTCTTGGAGATTGAACGCCCGAAGTTGTTCAATCATTGTCCGGCCGATTTCGTCGCGGGGAGAAGCGGAAACAGAGGCGGACCCTCCCGAACCCGAGGCAATGGATTTTGCCTTCTTTCTTCCGATCGGCCGTGGAATGGGGTCCTCGTCATCGGAATCTGCAACGTTGAAGGGAGGGATTTGATCGCTAGAACCGATAGTCTCGTCGACCTCAACCTCGGCGTCGACGGTGGATCTTTTCCGGAACGATCCGCCGTTGGGATTGTTGAGTTGTTGCCACTTCGGGGAACGACTCAAAATCCTCCAAAGATCGATGGGCACCTTGCCTTGGTTCCCGTCGTCTTGATACCGGGTCGTGGCAAGCCGGAGAACATCGGTGTCGTTCGTGCCGCTCCTCCGGGACCGAGAGCATCCCTCGTAAACTCCCATAAACTTTCGGACTTTTTTGTTGATGTGGCTCCATTTGGAAGTGAGTTGGTCCCGGGTTCGGTAGGAGCCATCCTTCTTCATCGCCGTGAAGAACTTTTCCTCGATACGATCCCACATCGCATCCTTCNCTCGTAAACTCCCATAAACTTTCGGACTTTTTTGTTGATGTGGCTCCATTTGGAAGTGAGTTGGTCCCGGGTTCGGTAGGAGCCGTCCTTCTTCATCGCCGTGAAGAACTTCTCCTCGATACGATCCCACATCGCATCCTTCGTTTGCTCCGTACCTTTAAAAATGTATTACACAATTTTTTTAGACACCATTAAATATAATATATAAAAATAAAAACATAAATATATTACAAAAAATAAATTTTTAACCAATGATAGGATGCTCGGAGACGTCAACCCAAGCCGACGCCAATATGCACTCCTCCTCCGGCGTCCACTTTTGGATTGACCATGCTGCCTCGGTCAACGTGCTTTTGGCTTTGTGGCTCCTCCGGCGTGTACTTTTTTTCGATCCGGACGGTTCCGGTTGAGTCTCCAGAACCGAATCTCGGTCGACGTACCCCGACTGTTGCGTGTCGTACATCGGCGGTCGATCGCCCAACTCTTGGTAATACCACATCGCGGCGTCGACGGGCGGGAGATCGTCGGGAAAGAAGCCGGAGCCGGAAGGATTCATGTTGAAAATTGGGAGGGGGGGTTTGAATTTTGAAATTTAAAAATAAGAAAGAGGAAGAGATTGAAGAGAAGGTGTGAGAGATTGGTTGGGGGTTGAATTTATAAGAAAAAAAAAATTTGAAATGTGGGCTGCAACGGCTTTTTTAGCCGTTAGGAGGGAGCCGCGCAAGAGTCACGCCGCGTCAAACGAATGACGCAGGCGCCCTCACGCCCGTTTCACGCCGGCGCAGGGCGGTGTTTCACGCCCCCGGGGCGTTAAACGCCCCGTAACGCCGGTGGGCGTGAGGGGTATTACCAGTGCTCTTATACGTATAGAGAAAATCTAATAAGGAATTTTTTTTATATTCTAAATGCACATGACCGATGTTTAATTGATTGTATAAGTGGATCAGAACCTGAAGGGAGTAGACGCTAGAAGTGAGCGGCTGAAACAAGGGATGTAGCTGAGTCGTGGCGGCGAGCTTCTCCTCCGTCTGCTCTGTTCCCTTTCCGGCGATTGCTTTGATAAAGGAAGAAGTTTGCGATCGGCAATTGGGTTTAATTTCTTCTCTGTGTCTCCACTCCCTCTTCTTTTTCCGACGATGGAAGAAGCGGAGCAGAATTTTTTGATTGAAGAAGCGGCGCTGAAAAATTAGGGTTGTGCTAGGCTGATAACTTGTGTTGTGGGGAGCTTATTTTTCTTTATTCATAATAGTTTCCAGGAAGGTTTACTTTTGCAAGAGGAGAATTGATAATAGCTCCTTTATATAGGAAAGAGATTCATAGTCCATATTTTATTTAAAAAGACATAGAGTCAACATATGCTTTTCCCGACCAAAGATTATGACAATTATAAATGGCAATTGTGAAGTTAAATGGTAAGTGGCCAAAATTATAGTAATAATTATTATAATTATTATATTTATAATAATTAAAGAAATGTAAGTTAATAATTGTAGTGGCCGAAATTATAACAATAATTATTATATCTATAATAATTATAAAATGGCCAAAAGGTAAGTTTATAATTGTGAAGTTAAAATGATAAGTGGCCGAAATTGTGATGTTCTAATTATTAAATAAAGGTATAAATATAATAATTAACGTATTGATGGAAATAATTTAAAAAAATAAATTAATAATTGTAGTGGCCAAAATTGTAGTAATAGTTATTATAATTATAATCAATATAATAATTATGAAGTTAAAATGGTAAGTAGCCAAAAATTATGAAGTTATAATTATTAAAAAAAGCTATAAATATAATAGCCAAAATTGTGAAGTAATAATTGTGAAGTTATTACAAATTTATATATTTATAATAATTATAAAATGGCCGAAAGGTAAGTTAATAATTGTGAAGTTAAAATGGTAAGTAGCCAAAATTATGAAGTTATAATTATTAAAAAAAAAGCTATAAATATAATAGTTAACGTATTGAAAATTGGAACTAATTAAAAAAGGTAAGTTAATAATTGTAGTGGCCGAAATTGTAGTAATAATTATTATAATTATTATATTTATAATAATTATAAAATGGCCGAAAGGTAAGTAAATAATTGTGTTGTTAAAATGGTAAGTGACCGAAATTGTGGGTTTATAATTATTAGAAAAGGTATAAATATAATAATAGCTATTATTTTTATAATAATTAATTAACGTATTGTAAGTGTGAAGTAAATATAGTTATTATTTTAACTATAATTAACGTGAGCAATATAAAATGGTAAGCGTGACGTTAATATAATTATTATATATATATAAATTAACATATTGAAAATTCAAAATAATTAAAAAAGATAAGTTATAAAATTGCAGAACGTAAGTTTTAAATAAAATTGGAGTCAATGTATTATATGCTAATAATTAACCAACGTTATTTTGACTACTGATTGAAAACGTATGAAATTATGGTAAGAATAAGTAAATGTCATTTTTAACCATCGGAAGTTAATATAATTATTTTTATAATAATTAACATGAGTAATATAAAATAGTAAGCCATCGGAAATTAATATAATTATTATATTTATAATAATCAACATATTAAAAAGGTAAGTTATACAAATCAAAAGCGTAAATTTTTAATAAAGGTAAGTTATACAAATGCAAAGAGTAAGTTTTCGAAAATTGGAAATAATTAAAAAAGATAAGTTATACAATTATACACTCATTTTCGGAAAAAAATAAGTATACACCCAATTTCAAAAAAAGTTAACCCTTCTTATTATAATTATAATTATAATAGCCTATAGCCTATTACAATTAAATATACTATAAGTATTCCCACAAATTGTACAATAATGTAATCTATAAAGAAGTCTTTCGAAATTTGTAAAGCAGTGATGTTTTTTACCTTAAAATAATATAATCTCTATATTCTATTGCATCTCATTTTTATCATTGAAAAATGATTTGAATTTAATAACATAAAAATAATCCGTGCAACGCACAAGTGTGATAATAGTTTTACAAGAAGAGATGTATGATTGAGCTCCATAGCTTTACAAGAGAAGACCCATACAACTATATTACATAACATAAAATAAATTTTATCTACGCCCAACAGCACACTAAATTCTAACTATATAAAGGCAGAATTTGGTTATCTGCCTGTAATTGATATGGAGTAACGTTAACGCAGGCAGATGCGGAAATGGTGGAATAGCCATAATACCAACAAGAAATGTAAAATCAATTCCCTAAATACGGAATGACTTAAGCACAAGCGCACGAATTGCCCACCACCACCGAGTCCTCGTCCCCGCCGCTCCTGAAAAGCAGGTGCCCGACGGCGAGGCCGACGACGACGGCGATGAATACGCCGGCGTTGAAAGACATGATGGCCAGCATCAGGAGGTATCCGACGCCCGAACTGATCCCGAAAAGCAGAGCTCCTGTCATTCTCGCCGCCGCGATCCGGCGGAAGCCGGCGGATCGGATCAGAGGAGCTTCCGCCCGATTCTCCTTGTCACTTCCGGATGAGGAGGAGGATCCGGCAATCCTGAATCGGAGACGGCGGTCCTCCATGTACTGGTAGAAGACGGAGAAGAGGAAGGAGACGAACAAGGTGAGGGCGTAGCTGGTCCAGGAATCGGTTTTCCAGAAATCGAACAAAACGGTGACGTTTTTGCCCCAGTAGAAGGTCATGTGCATCATCTTCGCCGCCGCCGATGAGAGAGGCAAATTGAGATTATTGTTCACAAATCGCACTTCCTTTGTTGTGTGAATTTTGATTTTTGATCATTAGAAAATATACTACTCCGTATGTATGATAATAATGATAATCAAAACTCAGAATGGTACGACACTCAAGAGTAGTACAAACATGTAGTAGTACAACTTTGAATTGAAGGATCTTCTCCCCTACCCAGTACAGTTTTGAAAGTATGTGTAACCCGACCACCCCCGAGTCAATTTTGACTACAAAATCAAAATCAACTTGTGGAGTGCAATTGAGAGGGTCAGGGGTATGTTTCGAGTCGGGACGGGATGGGGGGTTTAATAGGGGGTTAGGGGGTAGGAACCGTCAATTTTACGAATATACCCTCCAACCCCCTTCAATTGCACCCCACAAGTTGATTTTGATTTTGTAGTCAAAATTGACTCGGGGGCGCTCGGGTTACACATACTTTCAAAACTGTACTGGGTAGGGGAGAAGATCCTTCAATTCAAAGTTGTACTACTACATGTTTGTACTACTCCTTTACAGTAAAGAAGAGTAGTACAAACATGTAGTAGTACAACTTTGAAGAATGTGTAATCTTTATTTTATGTAATTTTATACGAAAATGCTAGGGCACATGGATTCCAAATATTTCACTCCCTCCATAACTACATAAATTAGCATGTAAAATTTAAGAAAAGTAATAAATAAAATCAAATAAAAATGAATGGTAAAGAGTCATGTGATACGCTTTTGGTGTATCTCTAGCATCTCCCAATTTTATATTCTTTCAGTGGTTAAAAATTTTTCAAAGTTTGTTTTTTTAGTCAAATTATGACACTTTTTTATCATAAATTATGGAAAAAATATATTTAGTTATAATATAAATTTAGTAAAATTGGGTTTATTTTAAAATACAGTTTAGAAATGACAAATTTTTATGACATTTAATTATTTTAAACTATATTTAAATCGTGGTCAAAAGATGTCACTGTTTGACCAAAAAATTTCAAACTGTTGCAATCTTTTAGAGATAGATAGAGTATTTAATTTTTTATGTTTGACATTCTCTTAGCAATCTTATATTTAAATTTTGGAAAATGCTAGGAGTACACCAAAGGTATATCCCAAATGTACATCACTCATTTCAATACCACGTATATTGACAAATAAAATAAACAAGAAATAAATAAATAAAAATGAGTGGTAGAAAAATAAGTGACGTACATTTGGGATACATCTTTGGTCTAGCATCCTCCTAAACTTTTTTTATGTTTGGCATTCTCATAAGGATCAACCAAAACGGAGCAATTATGTATGTCATTATGTCTACTTATGTACTTCGTCGATCCAAAAGGGGGAATCGCCCATTCTAGGTGTCTCCACCCTTGGCCCGAGAGGGAAGCTGGAGGAAGTAAATCATTGTGATTCGGTCGCCCAAGAATGCTAGACCCGTGCCCACCGCGCACAAGGAGCCTCCTCACCCTTTATGGGATTTTTGGATAGCTCCCACACTGCCGCTTGCGGGACTCGATCTTTGGTCATCGGTCCAAGATTTCACGTTCTTGACCAACTGAGCTGTCCATGCAGGATACTTATGTACTTCGTAATTGTAATTTGTTGTGCTTTTAGTTTTATGTTATGTAATTTAAATATTATGTATATTTACTTATGGGTATTAATTATATATATATATATATATTCTAATTTTATGTTGTTGATTTTTTTAATGATTAATTATATTCATAAACAAATTTGGGAAAAAATCAATATATTATACAATTATATATTAGATAACTTATTAAATATAAATAAAATTAATAGAGTAAAAGATAGTCAAATACTAATGTGGCAAAGTCTGAAATTGTATGAGGATTGCGATAGTTTTTCTGAAAATCTTTAAAAGAGTGAAGTATTAAAATGCTAATGTGGTAGAATCTGAAAGACTCTCAAGACTCCATGCACCGTGGATGTCCTAATACTCACTTTAGTCAATTATTTTTTATCGTTGACTTGTAACTAAATAAATGTATAAAGTGTATTGATTGGATAAAATGATATTTTAAAAATTCTATACAAAAAAAATATAATAATATTATTTTTGTATCAAAATTTAATATCAATTTTATATAATTAGTGGTCAAAGTCTATTAATTTTAACTACAAAGCATTAAAATTTGACTCGTTTCTCTCTCTAGATGGCGAGGAAACGAGGGCGACCGAGGAAGAAGGCGATGGAGATGCAATCAACGCCGAAATCAATGACTACAATCATAACCGAACAATCTGCTGATGATGCAAGGTCGAAGCTACAGAAAATGAACTCGATCCCTAATACTCCAATTGAGGTATTTCCTAGAACCCTAGATAATACTGAAATTCTGGAAGGAGAAGGTTCGAATAAGACATTGGAGCCAAAGGGGAAAAAGCCCTCATATGCTGAAGTGGTTGAGGGCAAAGATAAAATAGAATATGAACTTACCTTTATCCAATCAGAGGAAATTAATGGACAATGTGTTGCTAAGATTCTGGAAGAAGATCTGATAGAGGATTTAGGTATTTGGGATCAGGCCATAGTGTTATGTGTCCTGGGAGCCAATCCTCCTTTGGAAGTAATAGATGGTTATGTGCATCGTATATGGAAAGGATTAAGCATAGAGGAAGTGTGCTTTATGAAGGAAGGACAATATCTTATCTCCTTCAAACAAGCTGCAGATAGGGACGAGGTTTTAAAGAGGAAATACTATTACTTTGATAAGAAGCCACTGTTAGTGAAAGCATGGAGTCCAGGATGCCAGATAGATGTAATAGAACTGAAGGATGTACCAATATATGTGACTTTCCCAGGACTTAACATGAAATATTGGAGCCTTACAGGATTGAGCAAACTTAGGAGTATGATTGGCAAACCTGTGAGAAGAGATAAGGCAATAGCCACAAGAATTAAATGGGGGTCTGCTAGGATCCAAGTGGAGGTGCAGGTGCAACAAAACTTCCTTAATGAAGAGGGCAGAATCATATTCCAGTCTGTGGAATATGAATGGAGACCAACCATATGTGAAAGATGCAATAGAACGGGTCATACTGGGGATGAATGCAGGAATAAACAGGATGATAATAAAGGAAAAGGACCTATAAAAAAAGTTTGGAAACCCAAACAGAAACAAGTGGAGGTCCCTAAACAGAAACAAGTAAATGAACTTGAACCATATGAAAGGGAAAATAAGGAGGAACTAGAAGATGTGCAGGAATATGTGGCATTTGACCAAGGAGATGGGTTCCAAGAAGTTAGTAAGAAGAAAAGTGCCAGAAAAATAACAATAGATAAGTTGAATAAGGGGAGTGGAGGGATACCCCCTACACTGGTCACTACCTCTTTTTGTCATGATCATGAGCTGGAATATTAGGGGTCTCAATAGCCCCAATAAGCAGTGTGAAGTAAAGAATTTAGTGAATAAATATGGAGATACTATAATGGGTATTTAGAAACTAAAATAAAAAAAGAGGAGGATGAGATTATGAATAAAATGTTCAAGGATTGGGACAAGACAACTAATGTGAAATGCCACCCATTGGGAAGGATCTGGATGGCATGGAATAAAAGGAAGGTTTAGGTTCAAATAATGGATAGAACTGCAAAAACTATCCATTGTAAAATAAGGGATCTGGATAATAAGGAGTACTATTGGATTACCTTTGTATATGGTTTTAATGACCAAAGCAGTAGGAGACTGCTTTGGGAAAACCTAAGGAGATATTCACAACACATGAGGGAGGCATGATGCTGTGTTAGAGACTACAATTCAGTACTGGAAGCCAAGGATAGGAAGGGGGTAACTTGGTTGCAGAGGATGAAATGAAGGATTTCAAGGATTGTGTGTTAGACTGTGGTTTGGAGGAAATTTCATGGGTGGGGCCTCACTATACATGGTCTAACAGGCAAGGCCAGATTCTGGTCAAAAATAAATAGGGCTTTGTCTAATGATATCTGGATGACTAGATTTGGAACTATAACCAGAGTGTTGGCTGAGGGAGTTTCTTATCACTCCCCTTTATTGTTAACATGATGACTACCAATTAGGCCAGTCCTTTCAGGTTCTGTAATATGTGGCTAGAAGATCCAGAGATGGTCCAAATTATGAGGGATACATGGAAAAGGAGGAGTCTAATAGAAGTATGTACCAGTTGATCATGAATATGAAGAATCTCAGGGTGCCATTAAAGAGACTCCATAAAGAGAAGTATAACAAGGTACATATACAAATGGAGGGTGCTAGAGAACAACTCCTAAAGTTTCAACAAGATATGAAACACATTCAACTGATAGACCAGATGGTAGATAAAGAGAAAGAATTGAGGGTAGTCCTCAATAAATCTATCAGGGCTTCACAAAGTTTGATGAGTCCGCAAAGTAAAATAGACTGGATAACTGAAGGGGACAAAGGATCCAGGCTGTTTTATGCATGGATCAAAAAGAGGACAACACATAATCACATTCTGGCTATCCAGAATGATAAAGGAGAGAGATTAGAAACTACTGGAGAAATAGCTGAAGTGTTTGTGCAATATTACACTAAATTGCTAAGTACTAAAAACCTAACACAACTACACAAGGGATTGATGAGAATGTTATCAAAAGTGGTAGGGTGCTGAATTTAAAACAACAACTGGGGTTGATTAAGCCTTTTAATAAACAGAATGTAAAAGAAGTAGTATTTTCTATTTCAAAAAATAAGAGCCCAGGTCCAGATGGATTTGGAAGTGGGTTCTTTCAATGAAGATGGAAAGAGGTTGAGAAACTAACTACCTCAACAGTTATGGATTTTTTCAGAGATGGAAGAACCCTGAAGCAAGTGAATACAACTGTGCTGACTGTGATCCCAAAAATATCTGACCCAGTTACCCCTAAAGATTTCAGACCCATTGCCTGTTGCAACACCATATACAAGGTTATCTCTAAGATGATTTGTAGTAGAATGAAAGATATATTGCCTCAGATCATTGATATTAATCAGGGGACCTTTGTCCAAGGGAGAGAATTAGTACATAATGTACTAATGTGCCAAGAGTTAGCTAAAGGCTATACCAGAAAGAATATCTCACCAAGATGCATGATGAAGCTGGACATCAAGAAAGCATATGACATGGTTAGCTGGGAGGCCATAAGAGGTATACTGTATAGTTTTAATTTTTCTTGAGCAGTTCATAAAGTGGGTGATGTTCTGTGTAACTAATCCAACATATACTATCAGTATTAATGGGGGTCAGTTTGGGTATATAAAAGGGGCAAAAGGGTTAAGACAAGGGGACCCCATTTCCCCTCTTCTATTTGTAATGGTGATGGAGTACCTGACTAGAAGTTTCCATATGGCTGTACAGCAAGACAAGTTTAAATTCCACCCAAAATGTGCTGGATTAAAAATAGTGAACTTATGTTTTGCTGGCGACTTAATAGTAGTGAGAAGAGCTGATGAAGTATCTACTGCCTGTATTATGGAAGTTTTGGATAGGTTCCAATTGGAAACTGGGCTTGGTATTAATAGAACTAAGTCCCAAATTGTTTTTGGGGGAGTGAACCAACAGATCGAAGAGAAGCTTCCGAAATTGACTGGTATGAGATTGGGGGAACTACCATTCACATACCTTGGAAGCCCTATAACAACAGGAAAATTAAAGAGGAATGAGTGTGATGCCTTAATAAACAAGCTGACCAGTAAAATTACTGCATGGGGGGTCAGACATCTATATTATATGGCAAGGGTAAGGCTTATCAATTCTGTTCTGATGGGGATTACTTCTTTCTGGACAAGAATATTTGTTATACCCAAGCAGGTCATGAAGGAGGTTGTGGCAGTTTGTAGGAATTTTTTATGGGGAGGAACACACAAATATGCTAAAGTGCCATTGGTTAGCTCGGAAGAAGTGTGCTTGAAGAAAAAGTTTGGGGGAATTGGCATAAAAAACATTCTGAATTGGAATAAGGCAGCAATTATGAAGCTAAATTGGGATGTGGCGGGGAAGAAAGATATATTGTGGGTGAAATGGATCCACAACAGGTACATCAAAGAAGAAGAGTTTTGGGATTATAAACCTAAACTGGATGCCTGCCAATACTGGAAAGAGATGGTTAGAGTCAGAGAGAAATTTAGGGGAAATTTAGGATCACACGGGGTCACACGACCCCACGGAAATTTTGTAATTTGTTAAATATTTGTATACTGTATTTAGGTGTGTGAATATTATATATTCTTACGGAAACGCGTCCAGGAGTATTTCGACGGACTGCGGAATGGTTAGAGCCTAGATACTAACATAACGTGTCTTGAGTTCGAGCCTCCATGAAAGGACCAAAGTTTTTCACTTTTTTGCTTTCCTTCTTCTTTTTCTTCTTTTTTTTGTTGGCTACTTTTTAATTGCTTTTTTTGTTTCATTCCTTTATTGTCTACTCATACTCATTTTCTCCCATAATTGATTTGACTTTTTAAAAACAAGTACAAAATCAATAATTTTTTACATATACTTTATTTACAAATTGGTATTGAAATAAAAGTTTATCCAATTTGACACAAAAAAAATCATACTATATGAATATTCTGAGATAGAGAGAGTATAATTTACATAATAAAAAATATGTAATTTTTTTAAAAATAAGATGTAACGAGAATATTTTATTTTATTAAATAACCAATGAGAACATATAGGAAAGGAAAGTTTGTCAGTATAGTAATAATTTAATTAAGTTTGGGACGGAGGAGGGAGACACATATATTTGTTACCATTAGTGATAATATTATAATAATATAATCTTAAAATATTGATGTTGCTGGTTACTTCGTATATGTTATAATTTATATTCACATTGTAATACAATTACTCCTATTTATTTTCAATTCACTTTAATATTTTTTCAAAAAATATAATCTTTAATTTTATGAAATACTCCATCATCTCGTTATATTTGTCTTTTTGATTATTTACAGTTTAGATATTCTTTCGTTAAATGTTTTCGTCTATCATTTTCTTGAAAATTAGTTATGAACTCATTTAATAAAATGTTTTATGTTATTATTAAATCTATTATTTTTAAGTTTATATTCAAAGCCAATATTTAAATAAATTCAATAAAAAATGTTATTGGAAACATTATAAACAAAAATGAGACAAAATGTTTCAAAAAAATACTTTTTTACGAAGTATTTAATGCACAACATGTGTGTTCATTAAACATCTCACAATCACGATCCCATTCCAAACAATCAAAATTCTAGGGAGTATATACTCCGTAATTTTTATAGCACAAANACCCCCCCCCCCCCCCCGCTGTCTCGAGTCTCGAAGTGGAACAAGGTAGAATTCTATCCCTCCCTCCCTCCCTCGTGCCGTCAGTCGTCATTCTGTAAAATTCTCTCTCAGATATGTTTCTTATCGTCTCCCCAATCTAATCTCTCCCTTTCGATTCGACTCTCTCCAATATAGAGCTCCGTAAAGGTCTGCGCTATTTAAAAAACAAAGAAAAGCACTCAGATCTCGCAACTTCACATTGACTTTGTTTCTGATTTTTACTTGCAAATTCACTCTTTTTTTCTCTGGGTCGAGATTCACGGGGGGATCTGTGGATAATCGTGTTTTTCCAGAGCTATGGAGTTTTCTTTTGAGCTGGTTCTTCAATTTTTCCTGCGAATTTGGTTGTAAAAATTTCCTTCTGTTCGCCTTTTAACCTGAGATTAGGTTTAAACGAACTAATTGCTTGTTCTAGGAGTTGGTTTTATTCACGAATATGATTGCCATGAAAGGTTTTATTTGAATTCCCTACTTTTTCTGGGAATTCACTGGGTTTGTTGTTTTTGATGATTGAAGTTATTTATTGCTTCCTTTAATTAATTAATTCGTTTGGAACGAAATCCTTCCGTATCCAGTAGCTGATTGAAAAAGACTGAAACTTTTTTTTGTTCATTAAATTTGATTATCATGCAATTAATTGATCTTAGATTTATTGCTCGATTATCAATTTGTTGAATTCAATGCTATTTTGGGTACACCACGTTGCTTGAATGGTAGTGGAGTAGTAATGTTGGTTGTGTTTGGTAATATTTTTGCAGGCTTTGGGTGATACTCTTTGCAACATTGCTACTCTTTTAGAAGTTACTTTGTGCTAGTAGATACTATTTATTTATATATAAATACATTTTAAAAGCAGTAGAACGAGGATGAGCTTTTTGGGAAAAGAGATTCCTACCAGTGGCAAAAATTTAACTTCTGTCAAGAAAACAACTTTGAATCCAAATGCAGCAGAATTTGTTCCCTTCTCACTCGCATCGCCCTCTGGCAATACGGCCAATAAAGATTTATCAAATTTTGCTGATCCAAGCACAGCCACAGGGAAGTCCCAATTAGATAGATCAGAGTCCTCTGTTTCAAACAACTCAGATGATGAGGTGCGCCAATATTGGCGTTGCCGTCTCCCTGATGACATTACAACTGATTTCGAGGTCGTGAGGCAAGACGATGATCATCCCATCACCAATCTCCCCTTTTCCAACTTGTCCTTAACTGATATCACTAATACTTCAAGGTTGACTGCATCAACAGGCAGTGCTTTTATGACAAAAGAAGAGCAGGGCTTATTGCCTCACCAAATTAATGGTACTAGATTTGTTGAAAATACAACATATCCTGCTTCTTGCTTTACTGAAGATGAATCCGCTACAAGTTTTAATCTTTTGTCTGGTCAACATTGGGAGAAACAACTTCTGAACAATCATAAATTTCTTGCTAATGCTAGAGAGGCACCTCCCTATGATGTGAACTCAAGAAATGATTTTATCACTGATATGTTCAATGAGCAACCGTACATGGAGGATCTATATATAAACCCTGTTGAGTTCCTTGCTTCACAATTTCCTGGTTTTGCATCTGAAAGTCTTTCCGAGGTTTACTATGCTAATGGATGTGATTTGAACCTGACAATTGAGATGCTTTCACAACTTGAGGTATTTTCAATTTATTTATTTTTAAAATTTTGGGTAATTTACGCAAATGGGACTTAAACATATCACTTTTCTCTAAATAGGACGAGTCCTATCTCCTCGAACGTTTGACAATGGAAAATTCTAAAATGTCACGCCTTTGAGAAAAATGACCTATTGCACAATTCAAGTAGAATAAGACATTACTAATAACAATTTGAATAGTCATTGAAATAATCAGTCATTATCCAACACTTGTTGCTAATGACCACATTTGTGAAGTCATTTGTGTAATCAGTCATTATCCAACATTGTTGCGAATGAGGGCATATATGGCAGACCATATGGAATGATGTGCCATAAAGAGAATAAAACATACTTAGTCTATATGGAGCAAATTTTTCTAAAATTATTCCCCAAAATGCAAACCAGCCAGAGTACCTGGGTAGGTTTCGTAGGTGTTAGGGCCGTTTCCCTCCTCATATAAATCATATCACTTAACTTTCTCAATCCAAAGATATGGTAATACATGGTCTATTGGTCACATTTATAATTCTGTCTATGCTTATTTGACTGCAGCAACAAATTGATTGTGAGATGAATCGGAATTCAAAGACTTTACCTACTCCTAATCTGAATGCGATGGATTTCCCTGCCCTTTCAGTGGCAGATAATGAAAACAGCCTCCTGGATTACTCTGGAGATGATCTTCAACAGGATTTTAGTCCCTACAGGCTATCAGGGAAAGGTAGTACCGTTGCATTCAAGTCTGCTTCTTCTCCTCACAGAGGCTCTCTTGATTTTGCTTCTGCCGTAAAGAAGATGCCTTCTCAAAACCCTAGCATCTGGAAGCCTGAGAAACATGGATCTAATGATGCAAGAGTTGGATCAAGCAGAAGTTCACATGGGCTGACCAGCCCTTACAATGGTAGTCAAAGTAGAGGAGTTTATGGTGATGGGTTACAAAGCCGAGGGGGGTTGACTCGTGCAGCTCCTGTTTGGCTTGAAACTGGAGAAACAGTTGGTAATACTCTTCTTGATATCTTTGTTGTGAACAGAACTAATTTTAGAATGCATTTTTTTCAACAATCTTGGTATTGCAGCAAATATGTACACTGAGATGCGGGAAGAAGCTCGTGACCATGCACGCTTGCGCAATGCATACTTCGAGCAGGTAGTTTTATTTTTTGATTCAATGCAGTAGTTAGGAATCTTGTTTAGGTTTCAAGAGCCACCGAGAACAATCTTGTGTTCAGTGTTTCAAGTTCCAAGATGCAGATGGTACTTCATCCCCGTTTATGTACAAGCATCATTGTTGTTACCGTTGATTGTATTATCTCTTATAGAAGGCCATTGTATTCGACTAGTGTATAATCATTTTTTAAACTAAAAGAAAAAAGAAAAGATAACAAAATACGCACCAAACAAGACTAAACTTTGCTGTCTTTTTTAAATCGAATTTTGACATCCCTGGCTTGTACCCCCAATCCCCATATCCTGCAGCCCCTTTGACTATGCGGATGTGCAGCTGTGTCAGTCACAGACAAACACACGTTGAGAGAGAGAGACACTGAAATAGTATTGCTAACTGAAATAGATTGCATGTAGTGAGTTTGTGATAGCTGTTCAGGGCAAGCATTTATTTTATTTCAATCTTTAAAAAAGGAGCTTCATATGCTTTAATGTGACAAATATAGATACTGTTTTAATAATACTGCCTTACTTTGGGTGACAGTGTGTGTGGTTATTGTGGTATATATTTATACTTTTAATTGCTTGGATTTTTTATGCAAGAGCAGGCTCGCCAGGCTTACCTGACTGGCCAGAAAGCTTTAGCTAAAGAATTGAGTGCAAAAGGCCAACTGCACAATATGAAGATGAAAGATGCTCACAGCAAAGCTCAAGAATCTATATTCCGCTTAAGGTTTGTGTCTATACACCATTTCTCTACTTTGGTGCAAGACGCTTTATTTTGTTTGACAAGGGCTTCAATCTCTTGTCTATTGGCGAATTCGGTTTAGAATCTTTCTTTAATTAACCTTGAAGCCCAAGTTGTGGAGGTATGCTTGGTTGAGATGGTGAATGTACTGAATTAATGGATTTATTATCAGCACTTTACCCTAACTCGCTCGGGTTGGTGCCATTAGAGTTACATATTGCCGATTCACTCCCTAAAAAAAGAGTTCTTTCTATAAATTCTCACAAAAAAGCATGCGGGCAATGTTTACCCCACATGCTCTTCCTGTCACAACCTTCACACGAAGGAATAATGAGATTGAATTTCAAATCTGTCATCATCATCATCATATATTATATTCATATGCATGTTAATAGATTGAAAGAAACAATATCTAAAAGGTGAGTTTACAAGTTTCACTATTTTCATTTCAGTCATTTCATCAAAAAAGCTAGCTTCAGTGCTATTATGTCAAGCATTAGCTGATTCAGTTGATGAAGTTAGTTTTTGGTAGAATATCTGGCAGATAAGGTAGAAAAGTAAGAAAAGAGGGTTTGCCAAAAGGCTCAAACATTATACTCTCTGTATATGGTAATGATTCGATTTCAAGAACATTAATTAATCTGTACGTGTTGCTCTTTTCCAGGAATCCAGAGATGACAACCAATGTCAGGGGACGGGAAAAAATCATTGACCTGCATGGGCTTCATGTTTCTGAAGCCATTCACGTCCTCAAGCGCGAGCTATCTCTTCTGAGAAATGCAGCAAGATCAACCGACCAGCGTCTGCAAGTATTCATTTGTGTTGGAACTGGGCACCATACCAAGGGTTCAAGGACTCCAGCCAGACTTCCAACTGCAGTCCAACGCCACCTCCTGGAGGAGGAGGGGCTCGACTTCTCTGAGCCTCAACCAGGCCTTTTACGGGTCGTTATTTACTAAAAAAGTCAAGGGAAAATGCTTTACAGGTTCTTGTCGCAGCCCCCCCCCCCACACACACACACAAACACACACACATTATGGTACCTGTAAACTATAAGCATGTAACTATGTAAGTGCAACCTCTCGAGTAGGGTGAGAAACGTATAGGTGGGATGAAACCTGAGAGGAGACTCATTTGTATGAGGAAAATGTAATTTGTTCAATAGGTCAGTATGTTTTTTAAATAGTTATTTTTTTAGACTTGCATTTGTCTCTTAGTTTTTTTGGGGGGGTTTAAATTGCCCAGTGTAACTGATTGTATTCATTTACTTGATAGATGACCCAAGTGTCAGTTTGAAATTTGCAAGTTACATCTACAATGTTTTTGGCTTCGATCTCTTCTTTTTTTATGTACAATCATTATTGTGTTTATGTTTCCCAAACCCATCCCTCTTCCTTTGGTTCAAGGAATTTCTCTACAAGGAAAGAACAATAAAATGGTAACGAAAAGGATTTTTGGTGTTTGGTTGGGAAGTAAAGAAAATTAGAAGGATAAGAGGTAGGGAAAATACAAAGCCGTGCGACTTTTCGAATTAAGTATGACAAATTTTGAGTTTCAGTTACTTTCAATTTATATTGCATATTAGTATAATGCGATAAAATTTTGGAATTACAAAAAAAACTACTCCGTAATAAAATCATTTTTATATTAATATACTTCATCTTCCTAATTTATATTGTTTGTTTCGGGATACATTATAATTTTTGTTTGATTGAAGCTTAAAATTTGTCATGTTTGACTTGAAAAAATCAAATTGGACAAATATAATGGGCAGATTAATCCGATTCATTCTAGGCCACTTCTTTTTTGGGTCAACTTCTTTTCTTTGCCCCCTCACATTTGTCTTCTCTAAAAAAAATCTCATGTCATTGTGAGGTATGAGTCGAGTTTGAGTTAGGTGGAGATTCACTCTCATATACTACATATCCATTAAGTACACAGTTGTCATTCGATTCATTCATAATCCTTACGTACATCATTCGATCCATTTCATGAAATGTAGAATGTAGAAAACAAACAACGAAGCATAACAAAGCTACAATTTCTAAGGCATAATCCATACACATGAATGTAGGAGTCTTCTAAACATTATTTGGCACAATATTATAGCATAAAATGGGATATATGACTTTCTTGAAATGAATCCCGTCCAATTATGATTCCTAACAAACTTTCATAAGAGAGTTACCATTTTTAGTTTTAATGTTCTTTTCTAAAAATAAATATTAGTTCGGGTGATGGACGAGAAATACCCCACCTGCACCCAACTCGATTCATCGTCAATTCGTTTTTAATCCTTTTCTTTTCAAATTTTCATCCATTAAATCGAGTCAAGTAGTTCGATTGTCCAACGAGTTGGGTAAAAATTGTCAATGCTAGTCGTTAAAAAGTCATTTTTTAAATGATTTGAGAAATTATGGAAGGAAAATATTAAGGAAAATAAAGACATGGATGCAAATCTTAATAATGTTTGGTTAGTAGAAAATTTGGCAAAAATTTTAATTTTCAATAAGTTTTTTGTTTTATTGTTATAGAAATAATGAAAGAGGTCCTATATTTTTTAAGATCTGAAACTATTTGTTATATATTCTTTTCGTCACATAAAAAAGTTTCACATTTTCTTTTTTGTATATCCCAAAAAAGGATTTTTCTAAAATAGGTTTAAGATCTTTTTAAATAATTAAAGGGTTTAAGATCTTTTTAAATAATTAAAGGGTTTAAGATCTTTTTAATTAAAGTCAGAAATAGGTTATTTTTTTAAATATAATCTCTATATGATTTTTTTGTTGTAAAACTTGACATATTTTTTAAATATCTGAGCTATGTTTTTTTTAATTTATGCACTAATTTGTAAATAAATTCATTTTAAAAGAGATGAGATCTATTATGCTTGGGAATGGAGGAAGTGAGGGCTAGAAATCAGAAACTTGATCTCCAATAACATTTGACATTGGGCACTGTACACCTGTGATGGATTACTCTAAACACGTGAATTAGGAAACTGAGTGTTCCCATCATTATCAACCAATAACTTCCCCTCTTGGTTCAAATGATTCCGATTTGGTTTACGGTTTTCGCTTTTTCAAACCCACCCCTAGAATTAACCATGCCAATTCTCAAAAGCACATCAAAGCGCTTCGGAATATGACAAAGACAGCAAAAGGGCGCACGCATAAAATTGGAACTCGCCAAAGTTCCACGTGGTTAATCCTTGGAGGAGAGAACCCACGTCGGGAACCTATGTTATTGTCCCCGTAGCCTGTGGGAACCACAACAAGTCTTCTTAACCACGACGGTGCACCACAAATTAGAGGCGCATTCACAGTGGACATTGTGGTGTGCTATATACATTAGGGTTCCATCACACCCCGTGCCATGCCAGGAGGAGGACTTTCTAATCATGCCAACTTTGGTCTAATGTCCGTCACACGGTCTAATAACCCAGACTTCTACTAAAGTTTCTTGTTACGCAACCATAATCATACCTCAAACATGTCAAAGCCCTTCATTCAAATAGACCTAAGTGCTCCGTATACGATGGAGAACCCCAAATGTGTCTAAACTCAATATAGCAATCTATTGTCTAAAACACGATTCCAGAATGCAGAACACTGATTCCAATTGAACAATTAAATCATTCAGCTTTGTCAAAATAAGGATGAGTAATATGTATAAGAAGCCAAGTAAGAGTAAAGTCTTCTTCCCTGTCCTACAAGAACATGTCACATTAATTTCAAGTGACACAAGTATGATGACTCAAGCAAAAGTGTTGTTGATTGTTGAAGAAAGCATTATATATGAAAGATTTACGAGAAGCAACACATATTAGTACTTGAATCTATGGAGATAGACAAAAGAGATTAATATGTGTATCCCAAAGAGTCTTACATCAAAAGGGTATTTAAAAGATCACATACCACTACATGCAATCATTCTGTTTTTTTTTTAAGATTCATAAAATGCCTAACATGGGGTTCAGGTTGGATTAACTTTTCCATGCAAAAACAACATTCATAATTGGGAAGATTTTTAGGAAGGCATTATCTCACATCAGCATGATGAGGAACAATAAGACCATCAATTTCTACCCAACTATGGGTCTGAAAATCCAATTATTTGTACCAAGTATATATGAACTAAAGATTTTGTTTAGGTAAAGACCTACTTTGATCCCTTACCTGCTGAATTCATCAGCTGCCTAGCTCTTCGGGCACAGTCTTCAAACTTTTGAACTACAATGGCGCATTTAAGAGGATTCTTCTCATTTTCCTTGTAGCATTTTGTGCAAGCATCTATTTCCTCCAAGCACTGGATTGGTTTGTGTTCGGGAAGTTTGAACTCCTTCTCATGGAGATCCTTTGCTCTCAGGGTTACTTCCTCTAACATGTTCCCCTCCTTCTTCTGCAACCTCTCCAAAACCTTTTCACCCTCTTGAAGTGCAGACCTGATAGAGTCTAGCTCTGCAACTGCAGCTTTCTGTGGGGGGAGTGGCACAAACAATGGTGACGCAGGAAGTGGCCATCCTTCAGCGACGGGCTTCTGTTGTGTGTTTGCCTGGGAAGTGTGAGTCTCTTTTGGTATCTTTGGTTTTGGCTTCTTTGATCTTCTCTTCAATTTATTATCTTCATCAGAGAGTTTTTTAATTAAATCCTTGCTGATCTGAATGGTAAACGGTTCGGCCATGATGACAGCTACTCCTGACAAAAACACCTGAAATGTCCATTTACCACCATGAGACCAAACAGACACCATGACAAGACAAAAAATGAAAGTTGATAGTAATACAATTTACAACCATGTCAAGAAAAGAAAATTGAGGAATATTTTATTGCAACAAATGGTTTGAGTTAACAATAAAAAAACAAGTTTGGCCTGTGACTAATGTGGAAAAGTGAACATTATTTAAGGATGGAGTATCGTTTTTATTTTCTCATATCATTTTTATATGATACACACTGTTCCTCTCTTTTTTCTCTCATATCCAACAATATATGAAGTCCACTCTCGGTTTAACAATTTTCTTTCATCATTCTTTCTTTTCTCTTTGTAAATTACTCCATATTTTGCTGTCAAAACAAACAAAGAAATCAAAAAACACAGCACAAAAGTTGGTAGAAAATCATAACAACATTGGTCAATTAGAAGCAACATATTACAGGATTTATTGGCACCTATTCCTATAAAATGATGGGAAATTGGGAATAGAAAGAAGCCTTCAAGTTCTTAAAAAAACATACCAGACTAAACGAGAATCTCCAAATAGGGTTTATTCCAAATGCAATAGAATTATGGATTAGTTTGATTAACTCATAGAACTGTGTAGTAAAAAAAGATTTACTCCCAAGCATTTCAGCATAGAACAGAGAAACAGCTGCAAAAAATGGGAAAAAAACTCTAACTTACTAGTGAGACTTCAAAGTTCAAACCCTTCCATGGGATCTAAAAATGTAATTCCCTCCTAAATTCTGTTCAGATACAAGCAAAGAAACAATTGATGAATCATATATTATCAGCAAAAACAAAACAAATCGCTGAACAAACTAACTCATACACAGAAATCGAGTATAATGCATCTCGCGGTATCGAATTAGTTACCGTTCAAAGCCAATTGCATTCGTAGATCTGAAAAAAAAACATGATGAAATATTCTCAGATATAAATCACTTACTTCATATAAAACTGATGAGATTGGGGGCCGAAACCGGCGGCGGAGGGTCGACGGAACTGGAAGCGACGCTTGGCCCCGGGCAGCGGGCGACGGAGAAGAGCAGCGGCAAAGATAAGCAAAATGCGATGCAAGGGGGAAAGACTTGAAGAGGAAGAAGAATACATGTGAGACAAGGGATGGGATGGTCATTTCACGTTCAAATGGGCCGAAAAACGATCACTTGGCCCATGATAACTGGATTATATAATGTGGGCCTCTACTACCCTTGTATTAATGCTTCATCTCTTTCATTTTTCAAGTATCTACATTTCAATGCAAACAAATCTGATTTATTCATTAACCTTAGTTTGATTCATTTCCATATATTAACCCATTCATTGTGATTTATTATACTTCCTTAACTCCAAAACAACTTTCATATTTATTACTCTCTCCGTCGATCTTTCCGGTTCGCAAAACGAAGAAAAATCTCAAATTTTTTAAATCTATTTTATTTAAATATTGGTATAGAAATAAAAAATAAAACATACATATTTAAAAGCTACACCAAAAGTTCAACAAAACAAGTGGTGACAATAATATTTTATTTTATCATATAGGCCATGAAAAAACACAAACAAATATAAATTCCCGTGAAGTTAGAATAGTGCTCTGGGAAGATCATTATAGGAGTGAGGGAGTATTACTAGAATCATATTTTATTCACTTTCTTTGCAAGTCACTACTTATTGTGATTGTGGCGGAACAAGTTACCCTCTGCTCTCACTCAAGGTTTGATTGATATTCACGGATATATTTTTTTGGGAGTCTCTTGTTTCAAAGAAGACTAAAAAGCTGATCACGTGAAGGATCTTACTACCCGAGGGGATTAGAGAGGAAATTTTGGAGAGAGTGAGTTGGAGAAAGAAAGAAAGAAAGCTTCGGTCCTAACTCAAGAATCCCATAAAATAATTAAGAGTTGATCCCCTCCCCGGCCCACAAGTCGAAGTGGGCTACTTACAGACGTACAAGGGTAACTTAGTACTCCCTCCGTCCCTCTAAGATCTTCTCGTTTTGACTTTTTGTAGTTTTTAAGGAGAATTGAAAAAAGGTGAAAGTTTACCATAATACCCTTAATGAAAATGAGTGGATTATATAAAATGAGGTGGGTGAGGTGTAATAAATAAAGTAAGTGGGGTTAGTTGTGTTATTTTAATGGTTAAAAAAGGTAATGAGAAGATCTATGGTGGACAAATAAAAAGGGCCAATGAGAAGATCTATGGGGGGCGGAGGGAGTAATATGAACTTTCTATCGAATAGTAAAGATTTTCGAGTACTTTCCAACTCCAAAAATGAGAGATCGTAATTCCCACCAAGATAATGGGTGAGGGGAAGCACTAAGGTTAGAAGACAAGTAATTCCCACCATCCTCCCACGATCATGAAGTAATTGACTTGCCCGCATGGGTAGCTCAGTTGGTCAAGAGCGTGAAATCTTGGACCGATGACCAGGGATCGAGTCCCGCAAGCGGCAGTGTGGGAGCTATCCCATAAAGGGTGAGGAGGCTCCTTGTGCGCGGTGGGCACGGGTCTAGCGTTCTTGGCCGACTGAGTCACCATGATTTACATCCTCCACCATTCCTGTCGGGCAAGGGGGTGGGGGCGCCTGGGGTGGACCGATGAAGTAATTGACTTCTCTCTTCTTATTTACATCCAAGAAATATGTATGATAAACAACATAATATGTATAGATGAGATACACTTTTTAAGATACACCTGATATTTTAACTCCATAGAAACCGAGACATTTTTCATGACATGGATTGATACCATGATTAATTTAAAACTCTCTGTGTAAAAAATGCTCCTCTATCTTGGGAGAAGTGATTGCACTCTTTATACAAAAACAAATTTGCATAGTTTCATCATTCCATATTTCTTATGATCATTTTTTTAACGTGTATGCAGACCTTGTATATATTAAAACATAGAGACTTTTCACTAGACACCAAAAGCAAAGAAAGCACGTACAAAGAAGCAAAAGCAAACTAAGGACAAAGAAGAGCACAAAGAGACAAATATACACAAACTGCCTCCTCTAGCAACTAGACACTAGACACTCAAGCACTGGACAAACCAAAGCAAAGACGCTCGCATGGGTAGCTCAACTGGTCCAAGGAGAGGATATCAAACCCGCTAATTCTAGGATTTAATTCTGGTAGCGGCAGTGTGAGAGTTGTCCGCACTGGGCGACCTCTTCTAAGAATCAAATTGAGACTATATTATGATTTATCCCCTCACAATCCTGTCGGGCCGAGGTGTGAGAGTGTCCGGGGTGGACGTTCATATATGATAAAATAAAATCTTTTCATCCCTTGTTTAACTACACTTCAAGCTTTACAATATGTGACCAAAATTCATCACAAATCATTAAATACAATTAGGAATATGCTACACCAAAGGTGTATCCCAAATATACACCACTCCTCTCTTTACCATTCATTTTATTTTATTTTTATTTTTTGAATTTTTCTTGCTTTTTTTTGTAGTGATGGAGGGACGGGAATGTTTGAAATATACTTTTGGTATTCCCCTAACATTTTCCATACAAATATTAGTATATAACTAAAAGAATAAAATTACAAAAATTAATGCTAAACTAAGGTTTGGTGGGGTGCGCCCGGCCAAGGCAATAGTGCAAGACCATGGCAACGCTTGAAAGCCCAACACAGCAAGCTGGCTTTGATGGGCTTTCCCCCTAAACAAATAAAGTTAATATCGAGTGGGCCAATGGCCCACATATCAGATATTAAACTGATAAGAACAGATACTACACTTGATCTTAGCCAAAAGGCCGAGAAAGGTATGCTTAATTTCAACTCGGCTTTCTCTTTTTATAAGTACACAGATGATTTCGTTCGGTTTACGAAACCGGTGTGGGACGGTAGCATTCTTTAAACTGCTGCACCTCGCCGCTACTTCTCGGCTTTTGGCAACGGTAGTAAAGTATTACCCTAATATAATTCCTCGCCCTTTATTACTAATATAATTAATTAATGTACTCTATAAATATGATAATTTTTACAATTTTTTTAACTGTTAAATATACGATTTTATTAAAAATAATATTTTATTTTTTTAATGCAATAGTTCTTTCAAAAAAAATTCTACTATTATCTAAATAAGTTTTCGCAAGTGTTGATAATTTTCATTTTTTGTGCATATAAAATTCATTTTTTGTGACTATTCAAAATAAGCAATATTGGTGCATTAAAAGTAGTCCTATTTTTCAAACTTTTCCTTAAAAATCTAGAACTAAAAATTATTCATCTAAGCTGATTGGTATAACTTATACCTGGCCTGAATACCTGAAACAGTGACAATTCAAATTATGACCGGCCAAGAATTCTTCGTGCTTGAGAAGACACCGAAGCATTCGAGAAAAGTAACCAGTCATATCTCTCCTAGAAGTGACTGGTCATATTTTTGACATGATCATATTGGCATGGACTGCAAAGGAGAGGTAATCCAGAAGACACTCTTCGGATGAGCCCGGCTGGACCCTCCTCACTCCATCGTCCTGGTTAGATGGCTTAATTGATGACTAGATTGGCGCTCATGAATGACCAAATTAATGAATGACGAGTCAAGGAGTTATTTCCATGTATGGGCGTTGATTGGCGCAAGGCCCACACATGAGTAGTAGCTAGTTGCCTTATTTAACCTACTCCACTATATAAATAGGTTGCAAGAGAAGGAGGAGGGGTAGTCATTCATTCTCTTACAAACTTGCACACTTTTGAGACATGGTAAGAAATATATATTCAAACACAAGAATTTTTTCTGGCCTAGATCATTCTCAATGCATTTGTACTTTCCTTTGTGTTTGCTTCACCTTGTTAGAATCTTATTCAACCCAATCAGTCTCGGTCAAACTTACCCAGTCAAATTTACCATTAAAAGCTATAAATTAGATTAATCAAAGTGTTAAATAATAAGAGTTGTAGTCATTCATAGAGGATAATAAGATATTAAATGAGCTCATCCTCCCACGCATATGAAATGTCTAAGAGTCTATTATTTAAGGCTTAAACTTTTAACTTTCAGTTTCTTTTAGTTCTTTCTAGTTTCTTCCAACTATTCTCATTTTCTTCAAACTCTTTCTACTTCCCAACTAATTACTCTAAAAACGATATATTTTTAATGTGATTATTATTATTTGTCTATAGTATACATAACTATAGTTTATAAAAAAAATTCCATCTCACTATTTTTACGATTCACACTCATTATTATTTTTTTCTTCAACCTTTTAATATGAATAAGATAATTTTTTGTATATTACTTTACATGATAAAATAGAAAAACATTTATATGGATAAAATAGTTACAAAGAATGTTTTGTTAATCTAACTTTATATAAGACCCCTCACTTTTTCCTTTATTACTAAATTTTTTCTCATTTTTATTTATTTCAAAAATTAATTTGTTTTTTATTTTTCTTATTTTTATAAAAAAAATTGGAAGTTAAAATAGTTTAGAGAAAAAGACTAAAATAGAAATAAAACTTAAAAAATGTACAAAAATAAATTTTCTATGTCTTTATTCCAAAAATAGGTTTACAATGAAATAAAATGACAATCATGAAAGAAAAAACGGTTTGATTACATTATGTGATATGTTTGATATTTAAAATAAAATCTTGTAATATATAATGTTTAATTACAAATATATTATTTTATAATAAATACTGCATAAATAAATTAAGGTGCAATGTAACAACAATAAATTTTTAAAATTTAACATTTTTATATTTATGCTAAATTTATATTATAATTATTATTATTTTGTAAAAGTAGTTTTTTTGTGCATGAAAAATAACAATACTTTTTTATCTTAAAGGCAATCATTAAGATAACGTGATGATGATAATAATAATAATAATAATTTATAACAAGAAATAGAATTAGAATAATATAAAAATATATTAAAAAATGCTTTTAAAGTTTTTTAGGTTTTTCAATTTTTTGAAGTCTTTCAAGTTTCTTCTAGTTTTAACAGCTCCTTTCAGTTTCTTCCAACATTGAGTTCTTTTTTCTAGTCCTAAAGATCAAGCTCTAATTAAATAAGTGATCTACAAGTTCAAAATGAATTGTCGCAATAAGGTAAATACAGAGTAATATACTTCCGCTTTCCCTAAAAAATGTTCTTGTTTGACTTTTGTGCATCCCATAAATTATTTTCATCGCAATTCAAATGTCTAAAATACTTCCAAAACAGTTTCTACCTGCAATAAAGAGAAATGGAGCGAATTTTAAACATTATAGATGTGATAGAAGTGTGTACAAAAAATGAAATAAGAACTTCTTTTTAGGATAGAGGAGGTATTAAAATAGATATTTGATGACACTTAACTTAAAAACATAATTATTAATATTTATTGAATAATTTTTAAAGAATTTCATTTCTTATTTATCATATAGAACTAAAAGTAATGTGCTTTCAAGAAAAATAATGTAAAATTTTCCCATAAAAGACCCCTAATTAAAAATGTAATGTTTCCTTAGCAATGTGATACAAATTACTTTTTTATGATTAGACAAAAGTATCATTTAAATTAAATAATAAAAATAATTAAACAACTCAATTATTAAAAAGAAAAAGTAACTAAATTAAAAGTATAAAAAACACAAATATAAATAAAAAAGAGTTATATTTGTGCCTATTTGAGAGGCCTTATATTATAAATTTGGATAAAAAATTTAATTATTTATTCGTCATATATGTATTTAAAATATAAAATTACTAATTTTGTACATTTGTTTTGATAATAATAATAATCAATATAGTAATTGTAATAATAATAATTAAAATAATAATAATAATGTGGAAGGGTTCTACGTCCACTCACTTTAAATGGCTCCGGATGACACGAGATTCAATTCAATGCCCTATGGTGCTCCATGCAGAAGACGATGGTTCCTACTCCCGCAGCCGATAAACCCTTTCATCCCGAGTCATTCCGATAAAAAATAGTAGTAATAAAAAATATTATTATTATAAACAATGCACAAAAAATAATTATAAATCATATTGAAAAGAAATAAAAAAAAAGTAGATGAAACTTGTAAGAATGGAAAGAAATTTAGAAAACTTGGAAGAATTAAATTGTAATAACTTAGAAAAGTTGAAAGAAACTACTAGTTCAGAGAAGAAAACTCTTTTCATCCTGTTTAACCTCACTTCACGATTTGGAATATTTGATTAGAATTAATCACAAATGATTTAATGTATCAAAAGTTAAATAAACTAAAAAAGTAGATTTTCAAACTAACGCTAAACGCGTCGAAAATAACTTTATCCGGTCTTAGAAATTGTCACCAAATTTGAATGCAGTTTTTGGGCTGACATAAAGAGACGAGAATGGAAATTGGGCCGTGAAGAAATATTTAAATGAAATTTGGTGGGGTGCGCCGGGCCAAGGCAACAGTGCAACACCATGGCGACGCTTTAAGGCCCAAGACAGCAAGCTGGCTTTGATGGGCCTTACCCCATAAAAAATAAAGTTAATATCGAGTGGGCCAATGGCCCACATATCAGATATTAAACTGATAAGAACAGATACTACACTTGATCTTAGCCAAAAGGCCGAGAAAGGTATGCCCCAAAAGCTATTTAGCTCTCGGTTTTTATTAGCTCTCAGCGGATATCACTTTTCTTACGAAACCGGTGTGGGAACGGAGCATTCTTTAAACTGCTGCACCTCGCCTCTACTTCTCGGCTTTTGGCTACGCTAGTAAAGCATTACCCTAATATATTCCCTTGGCCTTTATTACTAATAATTAAAGTACTCGATAAATATGATAATTTTTACACTTTTTTAACTGTTAAAAATATGATTTATTAAAAATAAAAATTTTTTCATTAATGCAATTGTTCTTTCAAAAAATAAAAATTTCCACTATATCTAAAAAATGCTTTTTATTATTTATATAAATACTAATATGAAATGCATGACACGTACACAAAACTCTGGGGATGAATTCAAGGTTGAAACAATTTAGTCCCATTTTAACCTTGTTTTGCAGAACTTCTTATTTCCCTAAAAGATCTAAAGAGTTTGTGTTTAATTGAGATTGAAAAAATTACTTAATTCAAATGGAGAAACCTTAAATTAGTTCAGTGGTATGTCATTCTCAGGTGACAACTTACTTAGTAGATTTTACAATAATTCTTGGTAGAAGAGTTGAACTATGATAAAGAAAAATTATCGTCTGATCTTAAATGATACGGAGTATTTACCTAAAATAAATGAAGACCATAGGAAATATACAAAAAGATGATGGAAGTAGTGACAAATGAGAGACGAGATTTCTTTTTTGTGTATGATTACGGGAAGCTGGAAACACTTTCATCGAGAAATCATTATCTGCTTTTATAAGATCAAATAGTAAAATTGTTTTGAATGTTGCATCTTGTGGCATAACAGTATTACTATTGCCTGGTAGAAGAACATCACACTCGAGATTCTCAATTCTTTTGGCGCTAACTGAGTGCTCAACGTATACCATGAAATAAGGGAGTTTGAAACAAAATTACTCTAACAGACAAGCCTAATCATATGTGATGGAGCATGTATGGTGAACATATTTGGTTTTGAAATATAGGATCACACAATGAGATATATCATGAGATTTTCTAACAGTAACTAAAAAATGAACCATTTTGGGTGAAAATAGTTGTACTTAGAGGTGACTTTTGGCAGATTATCCTTCCAGTTTTACTTAGAGATTCGAGAGAAAATTTTTAAGTGTTACGGTCAGTTCCTCAAAATAGTGGTCGTATTGTAAAGTTTTTACGCTGACCAAGCATATGAGACTGCATTAGTCTATGTCTTGTTGTGCATATAGGGATACGTACACAAGCTTTTTATGATTCAATAATCAAAGTCTGAGACGGAAAGCTAGGTTAGGTCATTGCTGGAGTTAGTGATGTTGAGATTTCTTCTGAATTCTTAATTCTTGACACAAGTTATCCCATCTAGAGTATAGTGAACTTGACTTATCCAAACATATTAAAGAGATCATAAACGATTATTCTTTTTTAGGATAAGATACTATTAGAACGAAATGTTACATGAATTTGCCATGTCTCTCATTCTTATGATGAAAAGGAATATTCTGATCAATTTAATATCTCGTCTCTCATTTGTCACTACTCGAGTGGGCCAATGACTCACATATCAGATATTAAACTGATAAGAACAGATACTACACTTGATCTTAGCCAAAAGGCCGAGAAAGGTATGCCTGAACTGACAATTGGCTTTCGCTATTTATAACTTCACAGAGGATTTCGTTCGTTTCACGAAACCGGTGTGGGAAAAAGCATTCTTCTTCATTACCAAACTTCTGCAGCTCGCCTCTACTTTTACTTCCTCACTTTTAGCAACGGTAGAAAAGCATTACCCTAATTTATTCCATGTCTCTTATTATATCATCGCCTAGGTTTAATCTGGTGCTTCACACGAGTTTATTTACGGTCTTAAATTTGTTGTAAATCTTTTCGAATATTTTTTCCAGATTGGGGCACTCCGATACGAGTGAACTATATTACGGAGTTTATGATTTAATCAATTATTTATTAGTTGGGAGAGGTTCCCATGGCATAGGAATCTCATGTCATGGGATGACCTAGGGCTTCTACGAAGCTCTGTTCGTAAAATTGACGGTTCCTACCGCCCTAACCCCCCAAGTAAACCCTCACCCGCCCCAACCCGAACACCCCCCTCACACCTTCAACTGCAACCTCTAAGTTAATTTTGACTTTGAAGTCAGGGTATTATTTATTAGTTGGTATTTTATTGTATTATTGTAAGTTCTTCTCTATCCCGATACGTTTAACGTATCACACTCACAATTACTATTTTGCTAATCTTTTTAAATAGTGGTTTGCATTGTGACATTCTTTTTGGGACGGAGTATAAGGCTATAACTAATAACTAAAACCAATATATTTAACTAAAAAATATTTGGATTTTTAATCACTAAAGACACTTGTGATAAATGAATTTAGTAACGTTGTACATATAGTTATCAAGCGTGGCTCAACTTCTATTCCAATCACACGATTGACAACATCATGCTATGGTATATGATAATTTTTTTCTATATTTCCTCCACCATCCCTGTCGGGCCAGAGGTGGGGGCACATGGGGTGGATGATTCCACCTTTGGACCGAAGATAATTTTTTTCTAAAATACTACCTCCGTCCCAAGGTATTTGTCCACTTTCATTTTTACACACTATCCAATACACTTCTTTAATCCATTTTATCTTGTAATTTGTATATTAAAAAATTATAGAAATTATCTATTAATAATATATATGTTAAAACAAATCAAACAAGATCACACATGACTATATTTAGGCTTACACATTGAGAGAGTTTGATGAGTCAAAGTGCTTAGATGAACAGTTCCAAAAATCAAAACTGAACGAATACTCCGGGACGGAGGGAGTAAAAGTACATGATTCTATTTTTTCAGAAGCGGTACAAAGTTGTGAGCGTTCACTTTACACTTAATACATAAAAAAATTACTATTTTTCATAGCAGTTGACTATAGTTGTCAAGGAACCAATTTAACCAAAAGCTCAAATTTGTGATTGTGACCCAAGAAATAATTTTTATATATTCTAACACGCTCCCAAATATTTAAGAAAATTTATTAAGATTTTTAATGACTAAAAAAACTTGCTTGTGAGAAATGAACATAGTAACATCACAAAGTTTAATAAAAGTGTTGAAAAATAAAAAAAGATGTGGTTAGAATGGAGGGATAAAAGTTTGCTTAACTACACATTCTTTCTTTCAAAAGGAAAGGTTTTTTCTAACAGATAAAAAAGTGAAGCAGAAAATATTTTACGAAATATGTGGGACATTTTTCAATAAAAAATGAATAAAATAAACTAGTAAGAGTCCCACACTATCATTAATGTTCGTCCAAAGCAAGATTTACCACAACCCTTATATTCTCTCCTCTACTTTACTTTTAATTCTAAGTACATAAAAAATCAAAAAAAAACTTTGCAACAAGAAAAATTAGTATTTGAGACTTGGTGGGGTGCGCCAAGCCAAGGCAGTAGTGCGAGACCAAGGCAACGTTTGAAAGCCCAAGACAACAAGCTACCTTTGATGGGCTTCCCCTCTTAAAAAATAGAGTTAATATCGCGTGAGCTAATAGCCCACATATCAAATATTAAACTGATAAGAACAGATACTACACTTGATCTTAGCCAAAAGGCCGAGAAAGGTATGCTTTAACATTAATCAGTTCTCGCTTTTTATTAACTCTCTGAGGATAACACTCATTTTACGGAACCGATGTGGGACAAAAGAAAGTTGCATTCTTTTTTCATTACCAACTGCTGCAGCTTGCCTCTCTTTTTCTCCGTCTTCTTTTATCTACCCTAAAATATATTTTATATACCCTAAAATATATTTTATCTTCCCTAAAATAATAAGAGCTTATTGGCGTGGGGATATGGAAATAAATTATCTTTCGAAATCAAACAGAAATAGTTTCCCCCAACCAAACTTACCTTATGTGTCTCAAATAAATTTTATCTTTTTTCGTTATTCTGTATTTTTTAAATATGTAGTATACAATGTTTTTTTGTTAAAGTATAATTTTTTTTTAAATAAAAATTATATATATTCACATGTATCCACTCTTTGATTTCTTTTTAATCTGTTGGAAATCATTCATGATACTTGTAAGGATTTCTTTTTAATATGTTGGAAAGAGTTTGTACATAAATAAATGATACTTCGATACATAATACGGAGTATAAAAAGTTGATGAAAAATGCTAGGAGTACACTAAAGGGTGTATCTCATTTGTTCCCCCACCCCCTCCATTACCACAAAAATGAGCAAGAAATTTAAAAAAAATTAAATAAATTTAAATAAATAAAAATGGGATAAAAACAAGTGGTTAAGAAAGAGATGAGGGACAAATGGGGTACACATTTGGTATATTGCTCAAAGTTGATACATCAAACACTCGATCTTAAAATAAACTAATTATATTATAGTACTCGGTAACAAAAAATTTTGATGCATTGTCAAGTCCAACACTGTACAGCAGAAGCTCCTTTATGTCTTGTGAGATTATATCGCAGGTTCTTCTTTTCCGAGTGGCTCGCCACCTGATCGATGAAATGCCCCAGAGGCGTTGAATCACAGTTACAATTGTTTAGGGAAAAACCCAGTTTTTTTTTATATTTTAAATTTAAAATATCCGCTCTGGGTAAGTAAGTAGATTTAAGCTACTTCTGTTGAAAAGCTATTGGGCTGACGTTAAGGTCTTCCATGGCTTTGAGAGGCGTGAGGAATAGGCACTGGGGATTGCCAGTTTTATCAGTCATCAGGCACAAAGGCTTTGTGAGATTGAATTCGGGTTCGAGCCACTGCTCTGAGGAACTAAGGGAGAATCTCCTACTTCTGAATGGTATGGCCATGCCTTCTCCAAGCTGTCAAGTTTGTCCAGCTTACTGAAGAATGTGGATTTGGTTAATGGAAGGCTTGTCAATGTCACCGATAACTCGAGAGTTCAAGATGACATTTTGCTCGAAACCATGACCCATTTCAAGTCTCTAGCTAGAGACTTCATTGGAGGTCCTTTGGTTCAAGA